AAAAACTGGACCTATTTTTATAATGTTTAGTGGAGTAATTTGGTACCCAATAAGAACCCAATGTACAAAATTTCAGAGAATTCCGTTATAAAACGTGTCCAAGAACCCGAAAATACCGAAAATTGGGGGTACCCTTATATGGGGGCTCTCCGAAAAAATTGACCTTTATTTATAATTTTTGATAGGGAGATTTGCTACCCAATAAGAACTCAAAGTACCAAATTTCAGCGAATTCAATTAAAAAACGCGCTCAAGAACCTCAAAATACCGAAAATTTGGGGGTACCCTTTTATGGGAGCTATCCGAAAAAATTGACCTATATTTATAATTTTTGGTATGGAGATTTGCTACCCAATAAGAACACAAAGTACCAAATTTCAGCGAATTCAATTAAAAAACGCGCACAAGAACGATTTTCTCCAATTTCAATAGGGTTCGTCCTTGGGCCAATTAAGTAATCTGTGCCAAATTTCATCCAAATCGGATCATAAATGCGACCTGTACTTTGTTCACAAAAATACATGGACGGACAGACGGACGGACAGAGGGACATGCGTAAATCGACTCAGAATGTGATTCTATGCATATTCTCAAAAGGAACCATGGGTCTATCTCGATTATTTTTGCCTGTTACAAACATATGCACAAAGACATAATACCCTGTACCACAGTGTGGTGAAGGGTATAATAAGGGATACTTACTGAGCAGAAAATATATCTACTTAAAACTATCAATATAGGCCCATGTGTCCGGGTCCCCCCTAATAACGCTTTCATGAAAATTCGTTGTAATTTCATATTTTAGATCATCATACAAAAAATTGTCAATATTGGTTCAAGTTTCCGGGTAACACCCATAAAATGGTATCCCCCATACCATTGCTCAAGTGGTGTCAAAGCGGTGTCACATTTCTGCAAACAAATCTCTATTTAGGCCCAAGTTCTAATATAGCTACCACATACTGGCCCCGCCCCCCTTTTCGGTATTTTAAATAAAGACCAAATTTTCTCAAAGAGTTGGCTATAATTAGGCATGACGGATTCCAGTGAATAAATAACATCATCTCAGAAATAATGTACTATACCTTAAGGTTTAAAAAACGCCATAAATATTTCCCGTTCAATTTTTCGGTATGTTTAAGTTCTTACCCCCATTTTTACAATTTGCAATTTTATAGTCACATGTTCAACCTGAATAGGTAACATCATGAGACTCTTTGTTATAATAAATGTTTTCGATGGAGATTTTGGTTTAACCTTCACATAAGGTAATAGTTCTCTTTCTCTTTTGTTAATAGTTCTCTTTCCTGTTGAGCTTAATTTTTGCAAAGAAAATATCTTGTATATTAGTTTTTTTCTGTGATACAAATTTTTTGTGTCGGATATATGTGAGGTATTCTTTTTATAAATTCAAAGATATTGACAAATGATTAGGCATATAACCACCATAATATGGTACTGCTTGATTTGGTACAATAAGGAACAACATGTTCCTATGGAATTATTATTATTTTCAAGGAAATTTTCTGAATGGACACGAACTCCATTCAGAATGTCTTCTGATTTTCCATCCTAGCATTTGCCCAACATTTACGTGCATTCTATGGAAAACGTGTACATACAATGATCTCGTGTAAATTCAATGATATACTTTTGAATTTTTTAGGTATTCTCACATAAAATAGTTTCAATACAATGTCAATCCAAATGAAAAAAATAATAATAAAATATTTGGAAATTTTTTCAATAATTGACAAATGTAGACTTAATGGAATGATACGCGGCCAAATTTTGCCCAAAATGTCTCAAAATAACGTCTATGACGTGGTGCAACCAAAATATCTCGATGAAAAATTCGTGGAAATGCAAATATTCTTCATAAAATTTCTGCAAATTTTTTGCGATTTTCAAAATTTTTGAACCTTCTAAACCTTCCATTAAGCTCCACGAACATTTCAAGACTAAGATAAGAAAAATCCGTTCAGCCGTTTTCGAGTTTTAGCAAGACTAACGAACAGCAATTCATTTATATATATATATATATATATATTAAGATATTAAAATTTAAACAAAAACTTTTTTTATCATAAAAAAACTGTATTTTTTAAAGATTGCCAGCTATAGCATAAACGTAAACGTTTTTGAGGATTACCATCCTAAAGTATTAAGTACTGTATATTCATAAATCATTGTGAATTATTTTGTTAGTCTTTATTTGATTCTATAGTCCGGATTGTTAAGATACCTTATTTTTTATTGAGTTTTAAAGTGTCTTAAACCTTCGAGACAAGGAAATGTTGTCGTTATAAAAATAGTTCGCTATAACCGATGGTTGACTGTATACCACTAATATTCCGTTTTAAATTAGAATCTCATTTCCATTTTAATTTAATTAAGACACCATTACGGTTGGTTTTGCATCATTAACGACGTAAAAATCATCTTTGAGTACACAAAACCACAAAGTTTCGTGCTGAAGGCGCCAACATAATGTATAGTTATGAAAGTAACAGATGTAGACAAATTGGTTACCGCAAAATATGGATAATAATTTCAATCATCCATTGACACGTTGAAGATATAGAAGAGCTTTATCAGTGTTGATGATTTAAAAACTGCTTGGTATTACAATTTTTTCGGGCTAATTGTATAAGATTTTCATTGGAGATTTTATACTTCATTTAGTTTATTGAAATCGGTTCAGATTTAGATATAGCTCCCATATATATTTTCTTCCGGTTTTTTTGCTAATGGCTATATCTAAGCTCCCATATACATTTTCTTACGATGTAATGTAAATGGTGTACCAAAGTTTCTGAAATTTGACATAGCATACTGAATTAAAACTAGAATGATCTGTGCTAATTTTCGGTTCAGATTTAGATATGTTATGCTCCCTTCGAGGGAACTCTGACATGAAATTGTTAGAACACATATATGGAGAATAAACCCACAGTCCGACTTTACTATTTTCCTTACTGGTTTTTAAATAAAATATTTATAAACAATAAATGATTTTCGGTAGTGCATAATATATTTAACGGAACCCTTAGCGTATGATTAATCTATACATTTTGTAAATAAGTAATACGCCACATTAGCCGACATTGAGTATCAGGCATTGAAGAATATATTTATTGATTCAATTTAAATGGACAGATTCAAAATGCATTAAATTTATTATGTGTCTGCTGTAACGATTAAGGTAAGATGGTCTATCGTACATTATCCTGAAACTATAACATTAATAATGATATTAATTACGAACAACTCAATCGTTTTTTAATTGACTGGATTTTTCATTGTAAATTTAAATTGACCCTTAATTCTGAATGCTGAGTGTAAAATATTAGAAAAAAACAATTTCATTCTTCTTATTGAGAGGTAGTAGTAGATGTTATAATAATTTCTACGATGAATTATTTACTATACGTAAATGTCGGACCCCACAAGGGGTCAATATTTTATAAACTTGTAAATATAATTTGAAGCGAATTGAAAACCCTATTTGATCAATGTTTAATCGGAAACTGCTTTTATAAAATCATTTACCTTATATAAGGCGAATAATAAAACCTGTGTGCCATTCCGCAGACCTCCGCAAACCATTGCCCTTTAGTATATTTACCTTTTTATACCCTACACTATGTCGTCAGGGTATTATAGCCTTGTTTTGTCCCAAGAGTTTGTAACGTCGCAAAATATTGATCATAGACCCACCTTTTAGCATACCGATTGTCATATACTCCACTAGACGAATCGATTTAGATTGTGTATGCTTCCGTCCGTCCGTCTTCCATTATAATTTCTAAACAAGCTACAGACCACAGTTTTGGACCAAAAATGGTTGTTTTGGAAATTATCCTTCATTATTTATTATTCAATTATGACCCGAACATCACTAGATTTTACATAGAGAAGGGGACCAGGCTAAAAAATAAGCCTAAAGATCGGTCAATATTTAGCGGGTCAAATGGACCCAGACTTTTGTCTGAAAAGTGGAAAAATTTGCTTTCTATGGCGAGAAGTTGATGGTAGAAGGAGGAGGCTGACTAAGAGAAGCTGTTGACCTTTAAATTAATACCAATTTTACTCTTCGATCTACTCGGATGTGGGAGTTACACGTTAATATTTACAGGGGCCTGCCTTTGCTGATATTGTTTAGTATTACCATTACCACACTAGAGGCCGAAACAAGAGCACTGATGGCTAGGAAAATTTCCAGGAGGTTTCAGTTATGGTCAAGGATGACGCATGATGATCAGATGATATTTAAGGAATAAAATGGATCAAAAACTTTATTTTTATCGGGGTTTCTAGTACCTTTAGAAATTACTCTTACGTATAATCATACATTGATTTCTGAATAACCGTGCGCCAGCAAGTTTTACAGCAGTGTATGTGTGGAATATATTTAATTACTAGCCAGGTCGAATATTGTATACTCTCCACAATGAGGTAGGCATTCAAAATGCTTTAATTGCCATGACAAATTGCTGCCAGGAGAAAATGATATACCAAACTACAGGTACTAAAATTGGATCGGATGAAAATGTGTATTGAACAGCTAATTTGTTTGAAAAGCGAGTTTGAATCCCTAAAACGACCGACTGGTGGTTTGAAAAGAGGTAATCGACGATCAGCCAGGTAATCTAATTTAACGGACGTAGTTGTTGGCTATTCATTTGCTCGGCCTCACTTTACTTCTAAGGTCATCACCCTTTGACAGAATGAAATAAATCATGATGGGAATTGCATCATACAGTTATTATCTTCTAAAAGTGGACTAATATCCGGAAATAGCATATGTTCCACACATGCTACCACCATACACTGGAGTCTAGGACAAGCGAGATTTTACATGTCTCAATTTTCACAGGTGGTCGATATATGTTAGGTTTGGTGAATAGAAATGCAGATTAATAATTAAATACTATTTAATTTAATTTCAACGTTTTTATAAATACAGGATCTCACATTTCCATAAAATTCCATATCGATTAACCATAAAATTGTTCCAAAAGAGTAAATACACTATATGTAACCTTCAGCAGGACTTGTAACGTTTTCAAATTAATCGGATATGCCTTGGAAATTAAAACCTAAATTAAATAGATATAAAAATAATAAAAATAGATATAAGAGAAACAAAAATATGAAAAATCTGATAAAAATTACCGCACATGGTTTTTGAGATCTCAGTAGCAATAATCTCAACATATTTTGTGTTTCGACATCATAATTGAACCAATTAATATCGTAGACAGCTGTTGAGATTTCCAAACTTTGATAGTACAACTCATTCGAGAAATAATATAAGACAAATGTTTGTGTAAAAATCATCAAAATATAAACAGTTATAATGCATTTTTGTATGACAGTTTTAACCTGGAAAAAAAGAAGAAGATTTTTAATTTTATTTCTTTAATTATTTGAAATTGTGTGGGATCCTTACCAAAATAAAAGATAGCAGCATAATACACAATAAGACCACAAATAATATTACATCTATCATGGATATTATCAGGGTACGTTCGTTGACCTTATCAACTAAACTGAAAGGATATTTAAACTGCTTTAATTTGATTTTTGTTCAAACAACAAATTAAACCCACCTTATTAGTTTCAAATGTAGTTGAACACTTTCGACAATTTTCTCTTGTATCAGTTGGCGTGATGAAATTTCTTGGGGAAAATTATTCAATTTACGTTGTAGGATTTTGGATATGGCAATGGCAAAAATTAAAAACGATACAAACATTCCGGTAAAGGGTATAAACATACAAAGGCCAGACAAATTCAGAATGCATTGTGAAGTCAGTAAGATTTCATACCAGGGTCTTTGATATTCATTCAAATAGGGCACGTAGATGCCGAAAATGAATTCTAGAAAGATGAGGAAAAGCCTAGATGAGAACAATTCCTGAAAAATTCCTATTAAATGAACCATGATTTTTCTGAAACATTTTTATTAAATGAACCATGATTTTTCTGAAACATTTTTATTAAATGAACCATGCCTTGTTCTGAAAAATTTCTATTAAAGGAACCACGCCTTGTTGAGAAAAATTAACTATGCCTTGTTCTGAAAAATTTGTGGAGAAAAATTCCTATTAAAGGAACAACGCTTTGTTGAGAAGAATTCCTATTAAAGGAAACCCGCCTTGTTGAGAAAAATTCCTATCAAAGGAACCAAGCCTTGTTCTGAAAATTTCTCATTAAATGAACCACGCCTTGTCGAAAAAAAATCCTCTTAAAGGAAACACGCCTTGTTGAGAAAAATTCCTATTAAAGAAAACACGCCTTGTTGAGAAAAAATCCTCTTAAAGGAACCACGCCTTGTACTGAAAAATTCTTATCAAAGGAACCACGCTTTGTACTGAAAAATTCTTATCAAAGGAACCACGCCTTGTACTGAAAAATTCCTATTAAATGAACCACGCCTTGTTGAGAAAAAATTAAAGGATCCACGGTTGCCATACTCACCTCTCTTATCGGACATAATGGGAAATATGGAAAATCCCGTACTTGTCAATATTCCCATTGTTAAAATTATTTTCGATATTTTCAATACCAAATCGGTATGCTGTTGCATTATACGACGTATTTCAAAATCATATTCCATCATTAATTCGGCATACAAAGTCTTCACAAATTCAAGAAGTTGTGTAAATTCTCGGCGATTTCGTACCATTACAATTGCACGCAAAAGGGTGTTGAAAACTAACATTGCCATATAGGTATCATGTACTTTTTCATCCAAAGGTTTTTCGGTATAATGTAAATCCAGCAATTGAAATAAATTCAGAAAGCCTAATGGTATATAGGAGAAATATTGACGCCAATTATCATCGATAAGTACCGACCAAAATTTCAATATTTTTACATTGAACCAAAGAAGTGGGACATCTTCAATGGTATCGATTTTTCGAATGTATCTTTTAACTTTTGCGGTTTTTCCATTCGCCAGTATGAAATTTAGATAGTTTTTTCGTGGCGGCATGGCAAAATGTTTTTTCCGTTATTAAGTAATTACGTTACTACGTTACAAATAAATGTGAATTGAAAAATTATTTAACTTTGTATACACATGATGTCACGTCATTTTAAATTATTCATGAGCATTTCAAAAACTTTTTTAATTTTTTTGTATTTTGAAAACTTCCGCTGCCTTTAAAATTAATAATGTATTTCAGTAATAATATAGGATGACTTTACACTGGAAAGTATGCTCTAAGTTGCAATTATTATATTTCAAAATTAATACATATAGGCGTTAATGTTTTGATTGAAAACTTGTATGCCCACCATACTAGTAAAACTCGAACTTTTAAAATGAAGGTTAAATTTGGGGAATAATGACTAAAAAATAAGAGAAAAAACGAGCGGTATCTTTATATAGTTTGCAACGCATCTTAGAAACGAATGGAGATCAGAATGACTGAATTGCAAGGACTACCTAAAAGGCAACCAATATTGATTACCTCGAATGACAACTGACATGAAATCTGTCTGTTGTAATCACTATAACCAAAAATTAGCATAGTGTTGTCTTTTGTCTGCAGGTAGGCAGTCAATCCTAAGATGAGCTATATCGGTTCACATTTAGGCATAGTCCCAATTTTAAGGATTTCTTGAGCGCGGTATTCAAGCGAATTCGCTGACATTTAGTACAATGGGTTACAATGGTAACATATGCCAAATTCCATTTCATTAGGATAGATTTAGAGTCGTTTTTGCGCAATGGGAAAAATTATGTAAATCGATTTAAATCACACTATTAATTACGCTACAACACAGAGCGATGTTCAATATTTAATCGCAATATGAAGAGTTTGGTTCACCATTCACCTAAAATCGGACGAAAATATATATGGGAGCTATATCTAAATATGAACCAATTTCATCCAAACTTATCAGACGTTATTGTAGACCCACTTCGATGTGATGCGCTTACTGTTGTGTCAATCGGACAAACTTTTCTAAAAATTGGGCGAAAATATATATAGGAGCTATATCTAAATCTGGACCGATTTTCACCAAATTATCTTTGCCAAATTTCATCTCATTCAGATAATAAATTTGATTGCTAGACTGTCTAATAAAATTTATATAGTCATCCCAAATTTCAAACAGTAAGCGGAGCAGTATAGTTGAACGCTGCCGACTATATGACTACCACTGAACTCAAAGTTTCTGTGGATCCACACACAACTCTGGTTCCATTTGGCACCCTTAATATTCATCAATCTTTATCAAAACAATAATTCTTCTTTTATAGTCAGATCCCTTTCTCTGCGTAATTTTCGGCCTCGAGGGCGACCTGAAAAATAGCCATTTCATCCCCAATTTTTTTAGCAATCATTACCAAAATACCAAAGGAGATCTTCTTTCCTCCTTCATGCAAAATTTCGTGAAGATTGGTCTATAACTTTGGCCTGTATTGTGTTTGCAAATTATAATAGATGGACATCCGGACCGACACGCATTAATAGATCGACTCAGCTAGTTGAGATATGACCAGTATACTAAAATGTGGGTCTAGAACCAATATTTTGCTGCGTTGCAAACTCTTGGGGTCACACAAAGCTATAATACCCTGTTAACATAGTTGTGTAAGGTATGCGAATATTCACAATAATTCTGGTTATCAATAAAAATATTAACTGCATTAGAAGGATATTCATAACGCCTTAAAACGTACCATTAAATAGGTCATAATATGTGGGTTGGGTTTTCCCTATCCATTTTTAAGTTTCCCTGTTTGTATGCTATTATATAGTTATACTCGCAAACACATTTTGTCTACTCAGGATTTTTGTTAAATTTCTGTTAAATCTAAAAACAGACAAAATAAACAAAAATCTTTAACCATGACAAAGTCAAGTCGAAAGTGGAAATGGAAAACAGGAAGAATAAAAAAACAACAAAGCATTAAGGTCAAGCATAAACATGTTCTGGGGTAAATGAAAATTTATGTTTTGAAAGGGCATGCTTCTTCGCCCAACGTAAACAAACACAAACAAACGCACATACACACAAAATATATTCATAGTAAACACACAGTCAATTGAAAACGTATTTGGGTATCTAAATTGGTTTCCTACCTTTGATAGACGGACATTTAGCAAACAAATCTCCATAATACTCGTATAATGTCAAGTGTTACTGTAACATTTACAGATACCTAGGGATTACTTCGACCCCATGTTTGGGCGGATTAAAAAAAAACTAAAAGTAATTATAATGTCTTAATAAATTCAGATTATAGGTAATCGAGAATGCGGGCGGTCAAACAATGGACATTTGTTCATTAAAGTTTTTGTTTGTATCCCTTTGAATTGATTATAAAGACACGAACCGTTGACCATTTAAATATATTAGACAAAAGAAATTAAATCACGTTCGTTCTGTTTACTTTCTTTGAAAGTTAATGGGGTAGGGGTTGCCATGAGATGTTGTATACGACATTTGAGGAATGTTGAATAGAGTTTATGTTTGGAAATTAAATATTTTTATTTTCCGGGCAATTTGCTTATAATTTGATATTTTATCATTCTATTGAAAAATATTTCTGCCAAAAATGTCAATAATGGTCCACATTTTGATATAGCACCATACAACATTAACCCATAAATCTCAGCATTAGTACAAAATTTCCATTCTTTATGTTGGTATAATTTTAAGGGTTATATGACTGTAATTTGATATTATGGATTCTTATTTGCTAAATTTTGTGGAATGAAAATGCACCCTGTATATTTTTGATATGTTCTGACACCACTTCCTGAGCTGGATCAATCACGGATGCTGATTGGCATTACTGGCATCTCCCCTACACATTCCCTCTGCGGATACCGTAGGGCACGGATGACCTACCAGCGGGGGAAGTAGTTGTTTTGCTCTCTTTGCTATTTTCACTCATTGGAATATGTATTAGTAGAAATAGATAAGCGATCCTCTGCGATCACAAGAACTCTCACTTCTCTTGTCTTGTAGCTATCGAAGAGTCAACTTGCTAAGTAACTCTTGTCGAGCTAACATCTACGTGTTAGCACTAGCAGGCCTCTGACGCCACCACACCAAATTTCACAAAGGTAATTTATTTGTTGTACGAAAAGAAAGAATCACCAATAAAACCAATGAATTTGAATATTATATTAATCACTTGCGTTTTATTTCTTGTAATTTCTTCTCTTTTCTGCATTTACACCACACGCGCGTATCACCATTGACTGCCTGGGAGCTCTCGTTGTCGTTCGCATCCCCCCTCTCCCTCGAGTTAATTATTTGATCACCCCCCTCCACATCACGGCGAGGAGTAGAGCAAGTCCCTCGCCTAAACATTTGGTCCTTCGAGCCGGATAGTAGCCAATTGACTAATTGTTGTTGTTTCTACGCGGAGAAATCATCATCAAATCACCTCTCATATGAAATAATCTCATCACCGCAAAAACAAATCACCATACTAACACCAGGTACGTAAACTCAGATTTCTTTAAAAAGTGAGCTACCGCGAGTGTTAGTATTTTTCGTTTGTGTTCGAATTCATGGTTTCTTAATTGAGCATAAGTCGATATTGAATCACCCTACGCGTGTGTAATTGCTAAACCATACAGTCCACTCTAGTCGTTGCATATACTTTTGTATTGTATGCTCTTTCGTTGTCACGAACTTTGCATTTCGTTAGTTTGTACTGATCACCCTACGTCGCGGGGGTCATACAAAACCTTTCCGAGTTGTTGTTATTATCACATGTTTGCTAAATTATTCCTTCTCGTTTATACGGAGATAATTTGCAGTTTTACATATTTACACTAACAAAGCAAATTGTTCTCAACTATCGGTTGTTAAAATATAAAAAAAATCAACGCTCCATATATTGTTCGTTTGGTTAATTTGTTGCTCTTTCGCTCTCACCAACCAAACGCAATAGCTTTGTTGTAATCTCCCTCGATCACTTCTTTTTTACATTGTCTAAATTGCAATAACAACACAAGCATCACTTGTCGTGAACGCACTTTGGTCGTTTGGTTTATTTGTTGTTTAAATTCTCACCAACCAAACGAATTTGTCGTGTTGTTATCCCCCCTCGTTTGCTCTAACAAGCAGAGTTAAATTTTTAATATTTGCAATAACAACATTTCATATCTTCACTCACCTATTACTCGAAAACAATAACAACAATCATAACCCAACAGTCCACAGTCTTGTTGTTTGGTTTATTTGTCGCTTAATCCACCACCAACCAAACATACCTGGTTGTTATTGTTGTTCGGCTGTACTGATCAATTCTCACTTAATAATTTGCACTGTCATAGTGCAATAACAACACACGTGCATTCCACGCGCCTTTTTCTAGCGTCACCTTGGTATAGTAGAAAATATACCAACAATTGTTGTCGGCTCCAACTCTCACTGTTGGATCGTTTGTCGCGTCGTGTGTTGTGTGGGTGCGTAGCTGCTTACGCATAGACATTTATCTGTTAGCGTCGGTTGTGTTTTATTCTGTTTTGTGTGATATTCGTTATTCACCACAATACAGCACAGTGGTACCAAGCGACAAAAATTGTGAATTTGCAAAAATTCGGCAACTATTGCACTCTTTTGGAGCATATTTAGCACATGGAAAAATATAAAATTTTCGAACATTTCTTCCTTGTTTTTGTTGTTTTTACTCAATATTTTTTTTAACAGTTGAGTACACCTTCTTGAGTTTTTTGAAAATTTAGACACCTGCACCCTACATTTGGCATTCACCGCCTCAAATACACCCTACCATTGGTAGAATTTTTGTTGAACATTTGGAACAA